CGGCTGTCCTGCGACAAGTTGCACTCTTGCATGCGGCTTCGAGACCAACTGTTGCCCGTGGCTACAGCACGAAGGATGCCGGCCCACACATGTTCACCTCTCTTCTTGCACCTCTTAAGGTCCCTTCTGAAACCAAACAGATCTGGAACCAACTCAAGGCCCTGACCGTTCCACGAATTGTTCGCAGCTGCTGACCACACCTTGCGCTCCATGCTGGCTGCTAGAGCCTCCCTGATAACGGCTAAATCAACTTTACCCTGCCCGAGCAGGGATTCGTCTATCGCATACCTATCACCCAGAGCACACTCCCAAGCCCACGGACCCCAAGGCTCCCAACCTAGATCGAGCAGAGTGGCAATGGTAGCTGCAGCTGGAGTGGCAACTCCCCTCCACCTATGCTTGGCAAGCTTGTCCCGCAAACGAGCGGGAACTTTTCTCCAGACTCTACGGATCCGCTCGGCGTGGAAACTGCGATCATTTAGGATAAGGAACCAAGCCGCAATCGTGTCAAAGAGAGCAAGGAAGGCAGGGCCTCTCCTCCCACACCCAAGCACTAACAACGTGGTGGGGCACCTACCCCCTTTAGCGACTCCACCCGTCAAACGACCCAACGACCGACGCCACCTCGAGACGACGTGGGGGGCAGTGCCGTGCACCCTATCGGGATACCGTGAAATGGCAAAGGCAGCAGTGAGGGCCATCTTCTTCGCCCACCTCTTGCACAACGTACTACCTGCTGCTTGCTTCTGAAGTTTACCTAAACGCTTGACCGCGGTCCGTCGACGTGCTGACTGCTTCGGTCTGGAAGCTCCGACCCGACCCCTATCGATGCCCAGAACAGCACTGACCAGTTTGACCTGGACGTCAATCTGGTGGCCCTTGAAAAACAGCTGCAACTGCTTGGCCACACTGGTGCTCGAACAGATGCTACACGACTTGCTAGCCATAGAGAGATGCGCCTGCTCAAGACAGCGGACGAGCTTCAGCCCTGCACTCGAGAGCTGTCTGAACACAAGCGCACTGGTGCCATGCATGCACTGGACAATGTCATCAACCCAGGTGTGCAGACTAGGCTCGGCAGGAGCACCCGTGACGAGTTGCGCGCAGACGTGATGCAAGGCTGCTCTCCCTAAGTCGACTGCGCCACTGCTACCTGGTATGAGCGACAACTCTGGGTCTACTCGGGGCGAGCCCCCCCCCCCCCCCCCCCCCCCCCTCACGAAGAAATCTGACCGCCATGTGAATCTGCAACTCTAGAGCAAGATAGCAAGGCGGAAACTCCAGTTCTAAAGCCTTCTCCAAGATGAGGTCCCATCGAAGGCTATCGTAGAACCCCTTCGCATCCCAGAGCAGACTGCCGCTATGAAAGCCGGGGAAGCTGGAGTTCGCAGCCTCCTCGTCCCGAAAAAGGCGCAACCACGCTACCTGCAGGGCTGAGGAGCCCGCCAGCGCCGTGTCCCACGTGCCAGCAGTAGCCCTCGCCCAGGCAGCTCTATCATCGTTCCTCAACCTGGCCCAGAACCTAACACGCCACGCGAGCAGGCCAATCGCGCGATCCGCTTCCAAGCCCTTGGCTTGGAGGGTGACAAGAATGACCAAGACCTGCCAAGGCCATCAACACTCACTTTCAACTTGAGTTAGAAGCTCTGCCAGACCCTGCAGGCCCGCCCTGGGCAGCCAGACGAAGTCCTTCTTCGTCATCTGGTCTACCCCTGGCGCGCGGTCTGGCAGGGCAGAAATGAGTCGGGAAAGCTGCTCTACAGTGATCGGCCTGGGCTCGAGTGCCTTAGCTCTGGACTGGGCTTTCTTCCAGAGCTCGAACACTCTCTCGAATGTGGAGGGATCTCCCTTCCACTTGAGACTCCACGCTCTGGCCCTGGCCTCCATGCGCGCGCAAGAATCTAGAGCTGGATCTCCCCGCGCTCTCATCTCGCCTACAAGAGCTGCTTTATCCTTGAGCCTGTTCTACATTCCTCGACCACCTAACTGGTCTTGCTGAAGGACCCACTGGTGGAACTTGCCTAGACTGGCGTGGAGGACTGACCTCTGGGCTCTCATCGAATTCGAGTAGGCCTGCCTACTGAGGCCCCCGATGGAATCATCAGTGAGCTCCCAAATCACCCTGAGACTTCGGCACCACTCGGTACGCACAGGAGGGGAGAGAGGCATGAGAGGGGAGACGGGAAAAGAGACAGACATGTCCCTCAAGCGCTCGCCTAACCTACAGGCCTTGCTAGATCCCCTCTTGCCCAGGAGGCCCACGAGATCCGCCAACAAGAAATCTATCGTGGCCCACCAGTGCGCAACAGGGTCCCTAGACGACACAAAGTGGGCTCCTTGGGCCTCAGGTCTCTAAGTGAGCTCCCCCAGGGAACCTCTCCCTCGATACTTCTTTTGATCGCCCGGATGAATCTCCAACATTGTGCAAAATAACGACTCGAACGTGGCTGTCCAATCCTCGAATGCCTTGCCAACCGAGAGCGACGCTGCGGGATCCAACCGAAACGCCTTCGAATCTACGATGTACTTCGGTGGTGTGCAATACGACCGACTGGCCGCCAGAGTGTGCCAGAGCCTGTCTTGGGCTCCTGGCGCGGTCTCGAGGAGCAGCTGCGACGTGCTCGCTCCCTGAGCTGCGGGAGGGGCGGTGTCTGCAGGGCCTCCTGCGCCCGTCGCCGCACCTCCAGGGGGGGCGGGGTCTGCTGGATCCCCGGCGCCCATCGCCGCGCCCCCTGCGCCATCGGCGCCGCCCTCGCCGAACTGCCTGTCGTCCTCGCCAGCTGAATCGCCGCCGTACTCCTGCTGAGGGTCCTCCTCGGACTCCAGACCCCAGTCATGCGCGCCCAAGTACTGCAGGGGAGGCGGCATCTTGAACCTGATCTGACGACGCGCCCTCATCGGAGGGAGTGGTAGTTCTGGCTCAGCGGCGGCCTCAGCAAGCTGGCGAAAGAGACGCTGCCGAGACCTTTTACTGTTCGGATATGCTTGCTTCTGGGGCCTCGGTGGGTACTGAAATCTCTGCGGCATACTGAGTACCCATCGCTGAGCCTTCTCTAACCTCAACTGCAGCCTCGTCAAGATGCCAAAATGCGACTTCCCCGCTCCAAAGCACGCCTCATCGTCCACCGTCATCGAGCAGACGAACCGAACCATCGAGCGCGACAGAACTGCATAATCAAGCATTCTCTTCTGGCCAGCCGTACACGTGTATTCTGAACCTGAAGGGACGCGAATCAACCCATCCACTAGTGACGGCCAGCCTGACTTCTGCAGTTCGATCGGAGTAGCATTGAAGGCACCGATGACCAACCAAGGCGTCTTGATAAACTGCAGTAGAGTGCCCAACTGAATCAACTTTGTCACATTCATACCAGCGATGCCTACCTCGGATGTCAAACAGATACCGAAGATCGCTATAGACTGACCGCCAATCTTGAGCTGACAACCCACTACGTCTTTGAAATCAATCCCTGACATTGTGGTCTCTGGCCCCTGAATCTGACGGAGCCCCATCTGCATCTGTCTGTCGTTCGCAAGATGCCGAAAACTCTGAAACTGAAATCGTTTTCTAACTCCCATGAAAATCCCACCAGCTTTGGTCGTCGACTTCAGCTGGTAAGATGGCGCCACAACTGGTTGATAACCTCTGTAACTCCAGTCATGGAACACTTCCGTACACATGTCTGGTAACACGTGCAGCTCGGGCAGGATGACTATGCCGTACTGGCCCTCAGCTTGAAGGCGTTTCGAAGAGTGTCCCCAGCCCGAGAGGTTCCTCATGTACAACGTGTGCTCGTCACCCTCGCGACATCTCCCCCTCCGCCTTCTGCTCATCACGCAGGTTGCGGACAAGAGCGTCGACCTCACCTTGCAGGCGGTCTGTCGCGGCCTTAAGCTGCTGTTCGTCCACTGGAGCCGCCGCGGCGCGAGGGGCGGGGTCTGCTGCCGTGCCTCGGCCAGCACCCGTCGCCGCGCCTCGCGCTGACGCCTCAGGGGCAGCGTCGGCACCTCCACGGGGTGCACTCGCCGCCGCGCCTGGGCTCGCGGGATCGGCCGTGTCCTGAGCTTCTCCCTGGTTGCCCTTCCTCTTCTTGCGGGCTCTCTCAAGGACTGCTGAGACCTTGGCCTTCTGATCCTGCAACTGCGCGTTGATCTGACCGTATGAGTCCTGTACCGCCTTACGCAACAAAACCTGAAGCTCACTCTTGGTCTTCTCCAGGATGTCATGGTCAGACTGCGTGAGGCCCAACCCTCCCAACTCGACTCCCAAACTGGAAGCCCCCAAGAGGCCCAAAGAAGCTCCCAAGAGGCCTCCAGGAGGCCCCCAAAAGGCTCCCAAGAGGCCCCGCGACGACGTGACTGTACGTGTTCCGGACGTGCACCCCGCGAAGCGAGAGGAATCGATTCAGAGAAGCCCCCAACACTGCTTCCGATGGCGTCAGACGGGCCAGGATCGCCCGACGACTGCCAAAGAGCCCCCCAGGACGCCCCAAAGGCGCCTAAGAGGCCCGATGAGTCCCCCAAGGGGCCTCCAAACCGCCCCCAGGAGGCACCTCAGATGTCCCAAGTGTCCCAAGTGTGCCCGAAAAGGCCTCCTCCTCCTACTCTTTCTCCTTCTCCTCGTTTGCCCTCCTTTCATCTCTTTTTCTTTTTCTTCTTCTTCTTCTTCTTCTTCTTCTTCTTCTTCTTCCTCCCTCACGCTTTCCCCAAAAGGTGTCCTCAATGGCTGGGGGAGCAAACACGCAGTCCGATAGCCAGGCCGAGGTCTGGCAGCAACGTTCGGCCACACAGGCGCTTCCAAAAGGCACGGGGCTGCGGTGATTCGCCGCTGGCGTCGTCGATCGCAATCTTCTTACTACTCTCCTCCTCCTCCTCCTCCTCCTCCTCTGCCTCCTCCTCCTCCTCCTCCTCGTAAAGGCTGTCTAACTCTGTACAGCAGCGTGCGTTGAACGTCCCGCGTCGGCCAGTCATTTATGATGGCCTCGTACAAGAGCTTCTTCTCAAGCCATGCCTCACACATCAATGTCATGTTCACAGCGCTGGGTGCAAGAGGCGACGTGGGACACTGACAACAGAACAATGAGGCGGACGCATGCGATGAACGAGGGGGGAGAGCACGCGAGAAAAACAATTTCTAGTACGGGTGTTGTGAAGTGGGTGGCGGACGGACGCCCTCAGGTCAGAAAGCCATGGAACAACTCTCGATCGATGTTGATATCTCCAAGCCTCCCCTACCCTTCGTTCGAAGATCTTCCCGCTGCGCTCTGACCAGCCACAGCAGGGGAGTTGTTCTCCTCAACCACGCCAAACATACACATCGTGTAGACGACCTCTCGAAACAGAGGATCAAGCCGACGGGTCCCGGCATGGGGGTGCAGACATCGCGCTACCACCAGGGCCCGCCAAAGTAGGAACGACTGTTTTCTTTGTGGCCGCGGGCATTCTCGCCTACGAATGGGCTCAACCACCAAACATTGCGGTGCGACCTGGGAACCAGCTGGGGCCTGTGAGCCATAGTGCCTCCTGAACCCAAGGCGACCATTCCTGCAGCTGCCCTTGCCGGAAGGAAAAGACAACAGCTCTCGCGGCTGTGATTGGCCTGGTCTTGCAAGGGCAGGGCATCCGCCGCCCCTCCCCCCCCTTCCCCGCGGACCAACGCCGTGCACAACAGACGAAAAGCGCGTCGCTGTGCGATCGGCCCCGCTTGGCCGCGAGAGCGGGCTTCCCCGTCGCGCTCCTGCCGAGCGGGCGCCCTCGCCTGCACTTGGAGATCTCCCATGGTGCTGCGCGCACGATGCCTTCGGAAGGGGGGCGGGAGGGGGGCATCTGGCTCCAGCAAAGGCTGGGGGGAACGTCGACCGGAATCGCGGATGCACCGCCGATAGATCGGGGATGCAGCTAAGCTGACCTCTAAAAGACTTCTACAAGCTCCTTTTTTAAGAATGTCATTTTTTTTGGCGCGGGTTTATTGTTGGATTGGGGCCGAAAGCGGTATGGGGGAAATGAATTCGTCTCCCGCGGCGGCCGCTGCCAGGGTTCCTCGAGAGCCCTAGGAGTCCTAGGACCCCCTTCGGAATCCTACGGATCCGTAGGGGCCCCAAGGATTCTTCGGGAGAGCGAGGAGGAGGGCGAGGAGGTGAGGGACGAGGAGGGGGAGGATGATCTTTATTGCCCGCTGATTTTTTGTTTTGGAAGAATCCTCCATCGTTGACGATGCTTCGCGGTTGCTCCCATCACGAAGATCTCCAGATGAGGAACCAAACTTTTAGAATATGGAAAAGGGGTGTGGTGTAAAGGGGTGTGGTGTGGACGCCCTGCATGCCCATAGAAACAACGATATGGGCGACTTCGCTGCGTCCCCAATCTGCGACGCACGCGGCCGAATCCAAAGCAACGCCGGCACCGCTGCTCCAAGTGGGCCACGGCGAGGTGGGAATGAATACAAGGGGTATACAAACGATCGGATGGTAATGCGAAACGGACGTGGACCTCTAGTGCGCCACGCAAGCGCGAATCAGAATCATTGGCCCGATTGACGCAATCATCGCGTTGAGAAAGTGTTCCGCGCACGCCCTTCGTCGGATCGCGGGAAACGCTCGTCGCCCCAGAAAACCTGCGAATATGACCCCCCCCCGACTCGTCAAAATGCGAAAGACCCTCTTCTACCGATCCTTCCTGTTACACCGCTCCCCGCATAATTGCCCCATCGCTTTCCAACGGAAACATTACTTCCTATTTGCCTACCCCTGGCCGCGCCGCGCGCATGGGCGCGCGCGGCACGCCTGGGCCGCGCGACTCTGCCGCGGGGGGCGAAACGGACCCTGGGGGTCCGCCCCCCATCGTCGGATTCGTTTGACCGCGCTGAATGGGGAACGCGGACTGGGCATGACGCCGAGCGCAAGAATGCATGGCCGCGTAGAGTTAATAATCCGGCGCATCAACATGCGCCCTTTTACTTTGCAGCCCGGCGACAGAGACCTCGCGCGCGCTCCCTTCCCGACTTGTATGACCCACGAAAGAAAGTTCCACTCGGTCGGCCACTGGCCCAAGGAGCGCAACGCGCGGAATATCGCGCGTCAGTGGTCGGGCTGTTTCGGCGAATTTCCACAGGTAAGCGTGAGCGGTCGCGTCGGCGTTTCCTCGGGCCGGCCTAGCTAGGCGCAAAAGATCATGCGAATTGTGGCGTTGCGGTAAAGTTGCCCGCAGCGTGCGGGCGCGAACGGGCTGGGCAGGCGTTGGGGGCAGGGCGTGGGGAACGTAGGATTCTGCGCGTTGCTCAAACGTCCGCCGAGAAGGGCCCTGGAAATCAAAGCGGTGCCCGCGGCGATTTCAATCTGCCGCCATGCCGAAACTGCGACGTTGGGCAGGCGGCCTTTGTTCCAACGCTCAACCTCCACCCCCCGCCCGCGAAACAGTCGTCGTAACAGATGCGCTGAGCTGCGCTGCCCTGTAAAAGCACAATGCGAGACACGTTTGGCGCGCCCCGCAATTCCCCTGCATTTAATTTCGTGACTCCGCCGCTCTGCGGCCTAAAGCGCCGACTGGTCTCTCTGACGCACTTTCATTATCTGCCTCCTCCGCCACCGAGGTTTGCCCTGCGTCCCCCATCCGCCGGCGCCTGGCTACACTGCGATCGCACGCAACTGAGCATGAATATATCATGCTTTCGCCTGCTAGAATCCGAACTACCAACAACGAAATTCCGGAATTTCCGAAACTCGAAAAAAAACACGAAATTCCGGAATTTCCGAAATTTGAAACACGAAATTCTGGAAATTCCGAGATTTGGAAAACGAAATTCCGGAATTTGAAGAATTTCAAAATGGCTGGTTTCCGGAAATTCCCGAATTTCACAGGCAAAACGAAATTCCGGAAATTCCGAAATTTGGAAAAACGAAATTCCCGAAAATCCGAAATTTGAAAAACGAGATTCCGGAAATTCCGAAATTCCAACGCGAAAAATTCGAAATTCCAAAATTTGAAAGCCAGACCCCTGGAACCTCAGAATCGCCAGGAGAGGCGGCCGCCGCGTCGCGCGCCTTCATGTCCAAGGAAAGCTCCGCCAAGGAACCACCAGAGAAGCGCGAACGAGCCCATCCAGATCCCCTATGGCGGCATTTCATCACGGATGCGCCCGCGGCGCCAAAATTTGCGCCCTGAGCGAGTTTCCTGGCGAGAGACCCGACCGCGTGACTTCTGCAACTCCGCCGAAGAGGCGCCGTCAAAGCTCGGGGTCCCCATGGGCCCGCGAAGTGTTGTACGTGGTTGGATGCGCGAACGCGAGCGCGGCCGCTGGGGCCCGCGGTGGAGCACCCCGTGGGGCTACGAAACGCTGCGCGGGATAGAGAAACCGCAACGAACTCTAACACTGGGGCCTTCGATGGGGCCCCCCATGGGTCCATGAGCCACCGCGGCGGGCGCGGGGAACGCATTCGAATTCCATCGCCGGGGCATTCGGTGGAGCTCGCAATGCACCGCGCGCTGCGCTGAATGGAGGAAGCGCATGCGGTTTCCGCTACTGGGACCTCAGGTGGCGCTTCGCTGCGGGCTTCGGACCGATGCGCTGGGCGAGGGGAGCGCGTGCGAGATCCGTCGCTGTTGCTTTCGGTGGGGCTCCATATGTGGCGGCGAAGCGTCGCCGCGAGCCGCGCGCGAGTTCTACCGCTGACGCCTTCGAAGGAGTCCCCAATCAGGCAGGCCACCAAGCGCTGCACTGGGGATGCGCGCGCGTGGGGTGGGGGTCACGAGCGAAAGAAAATTCGATAGGGCCCAGTGCTGCGCGCTGGGGGTCGCAGGCCACTGATGATAGCAGTCGCGGTGGCGACAAAGCCTGTTATCACCCATGCGCAATCGCCGAAACGACAGCCACCGTGCAATGCTACCGCGGCAGCCATTGACAACAAGACGTCGCCGACGACTGCAACCATCATACAGAAGGGCATCGCTGCCAACTGCACAGCGCCGCGCGCGCGACGACCTCATGCCCGCAAGAAAAGCGAAACGACAGCGGATCAACTCATACGTTGGGTGGGGATGGAGGGCGGCGAAGCGCATATGAAGACAGACCTGTATAGAACGATCAAGGCCGGGGAAGGAAAGGTGAGAGAGCTGAGAAGACGTTTTTTTTTTTTTTTTTTTTTTTTTTTGTGTGTGTGTGTGAGTGTGTGTGTGTGTGTGTGTGTGTGTGTGTGTGTGTGTGTGTTTGTTCTTCTCCAACGGAACCGTGCTGTCGGCAGTAACGCGGCAGCGCTGCGCACTGTGCGCGCACAAACGCAAACAAAACCAAACAGCCGAGCAAACGCAGAGGCATCGCATCAATGGCCACTTGGCCACCATCGCTTGGATGCGCCAGAACTGCAGTGCGAGAGCAACTGCAACCGCGAACGCATGCACATCTCAATATGATGCATCAGCTCCAAAGCGAAACACATTAACCATAACATCACCATACCGCCCCATTGAACCATACCCTTTTGCACCGCACCCCTTTCCCCCCTCTGGGGAACTCTATCCGGGCCCCGAAACCGGTGGGCGCATCAAGAGCCCAGAAGAACAACCACGGAACGACCTGAAGAACATCCAGCCCGTCCCGACCCCGAAACGCGTTCGCTGTAGGCCGCTGGTAGGCCCGAGTTCTCCTGGACGGGGGTAGGCACTAAAACAGGCCCCGATCGGCAGTGAACGGGCTACGGTTGGGGGGCCGTACTTCCACCCCCTGGGCAAACAAAAAAACAAGCTTCTGTGGCCCGTTGGGGTTTTCTGTGGCCCGCTGGGGCGTTCTTTGGCCCCGTCGGGGCTTTCTGTGGCGCGATGGCCCCGGTGGCCCCAATAGTGCTCTCTGTGGCCCAGCCGCCGTTTGCACATCATGCCCCAAACACCATGCGACGCACTTCAACTTCAACCTTTGAGGCGCAGACGCGACACGCACTTAAACCTTAGAGACACAGGCGCGACACGCAATTAAATCTTAGAGACACCGGCGCGACACGCACTTAAACATTAGACACACAGACACGGCACGCACGCAAACCTTAGAGACAACGACGCCACAGACACTTAAGCCTTATCAGGAATGATATGCAATTAAAGCCTTAAAACAACAAGCGCGACACGCATTGAAACCTTCGAAACGCAGACACGACACGCATATAAATACTAGAGACACACACACACACACGACACGCACCTAAACCTGAAAAGCATGGCATGATACGCGCGCAAACCTTACAGACACTGGCGCGACAGACACTTAAACCCTACAAACACAGACGCGACAAATACCTAAAGCTGGAAAGAGGAGGAAGAGGAGGAAAAGGAATAGGAGGAACATGTGGAGGATGAGGAGGATGAGGAGGAGGAGGAGGAGGAGGAAGAGGAGGAGGAGGAGAAGGAGGAGGAGGATAAGGACGAGGGGGGAGGCGAGGAGGTCTTATCCTGAGGTCTTATCCCACCAGCCCTTTGGGCGTGAGTGGTTTAGAGAGCCCGCTCTGTCCTCAACCCCCCTTCTTCCCCTTCGGGGAGGGGTTTACCCCTCCCCCTACCCCCTCCCCCATGGACCTGGACAGGGGGCCCGGCGGGTCGTCAGGGGGGTCAATTTCGACTCCTGGGAGGGCCAAAAAACGACGACCCTCACGAGGATTCTGGCCCCGAAATCATTGATTTTACTACGGTTTCGGCCCCATTTTGCCCTTCTGAGGGGGCAGCGCTCCTCTTCCTTCATAGCAAAATCATTGTTTTTACGAATGTTTTGGGCTCATTTTGTCACTATCAGGGGGCAGCGCCCATTTGCGCTTCTGAGGAGGTCGCAAGAGGCCCAAAGCTGGCCCCAAGAGGCCCCCAGGAGGCTCCCAAGAGGCCTCCAAGAGGCCCCCAAGAGGCCCCTAAGAGGCCCCTAAGAGGCACCAAGAGGCCCCCAAGAGGCCCCCAAGAGGCCCCCAAGAGGCCCCAAGAGGTCCCAAGAGGCGCCCAAGCGGCCCCCAAGAGGCCCCCAAGAGGCCCCCAAGAGGCCCCAAGAGGCTCCAAGAGGCCCCCAAGAGGCCCCACGAGGAGCCCGAACGACTCACACCAGGACGAAGGGCCCGAACGACTCACATCACGAGGAACCCGAACGACTCACACCACAAGGAGGGGCCCGAACGACTCACATCAGGACGAGGCGCCCGAACGACTCACACCACGAGGCGCCCGAACGACTCACACCACGACGCGGGCCCCGAACGACTCACACCACGAGGAACCCGAACGAGTCACACCAGGAGGAGGGGCCCGAACGACTCACACCAGGATGAGGGGCCCGAACAACTCACACCACGAGAAGCCCGAACGACTCACACCAGGACGAAGAGCCCGAACGACTCACACCACGAAGAGCCCGAACGACTCACACCAGGAAGAAGGGCCCGAACGACTCACACCAGGACGAGAAACCCCAAACGACTCAAATCACGAGGAGCGCTTTCTCTCCCTCCTCCTCCGCCTCGTCCTTCTCCCGCTCCCCCCACAAGGAGGATGTACAAGGAGGCGGGAGGAAGGAGGAACAGGGGAGATATGTGGGGCCAAGCGGACACACGCCTGAACAACACGACTGTCGGCATGCTTCGCAAGAGTTGCTGCTGTGAAATGGGCTGGTGGGGATACGCGAAGCGTAAAGAATTACAAGCCTTATCGTCGGTCCTGGGAGTTCGCTTGGAATCCTCAAGACCCTCTTAGAACCCGAATGCCCAGGAAACCCTAAATATCCGAAAATATCCCAGGGAATCTCCAAGAATCCGGCACATTCCATCGCAAGTCTGAATCATCCGTGGGAATCCAAAAACAAATCCATTGGAATCCGTCGGAATCATGTGTGGAGTCTTAAGGCATGTCCTGAGGAACCCGTAGGAATCCTCAGGAATTGCTGGGAATTCTGAGGGAACCCGCTTGATCCTGCGGCAAACCCGCAGGGACCTTCGGAACCTCACGGAATCCAGGAACAAGAAAAACCGTAATCCCGAGTAACTTTGCGGAATCAAGAAACATCCAAACGAATCGGTCAGCATCCAGGGGAATGCCGCAATGCGGTTGGTTGGTTTCATACGTATACACAAACACATATATATATGTATGTTTCGTTGTGTATGCGTATACAGTTGTATCCATATAGACATATCCACATATTTGCGTGCATATTTACACATACCAGCATGTATGTATACATGCATACATATGTGTGTATATATGTGTGTATGTATGTATGTGTGTATGTACGTATGTATGTATGTATGTATGTATGTATGTATGTATCGATAATGGGCATCCACACCAGCACCCGTTCTTACAAGCAGTCGCTTGCGACGGTGGTGGTTTTCCTTTCCTCCTCCTCCTTCTCGACGTTCTCTCTCTCTCTCATTTGTTGGTTTTCTCTCTCTCTCTCTCTGTCTGTCTGTTTCTCTCTCTCTCTCGTTTTCTATCTCTCTCTGTCTCTGTGTGTGCGTTTCTCTCTCTCTCTATATATGTATGTATGTACGATTGTTTTTGTTGTTCTCTCTCTCTCTCTACATTTATATGGTCTCGGCCCGAATTCCAGCAATAACCGAAAAAAAACAGGGCGCAACACCTTCCGCGCCTTCCAGCCCGGTGCGACCGTAACTGGGGCCTTTACCCCGGGACCGATTCGCGTCACTTTCCCCCCTTTTTATCCTCCGCTGCAATGGCCTGCGCCGCCGCCCTGGTGTTCGCACCGCGCGTGGTGACCTCGCCGCGGCCCACTTCCTCAACTGCGAAAAGGGCAAGACTCCGAGAGGGAGGCAACAAGCCTACATGCGGTACGGCCACCTACACGGATGTCCCAACGCGCGTCCTGTTCGACTTCCTCAACTCGAAGAGTCCCTGGTGGCCCACGTCAGGAGGATGCAGCAGATAGGTGGTGATCCTGGGGCGGCCTGGCACAAGTTCTGCGCTCTGCGTGCCGATGGTACGCGCGACCCCAGCCAGCGCGACGCCATTTTCCTCCGCTGTTTCCTCCGCCCTGCGCCGTCATCCCTGTAACTACCCACAGGCACAGGAAACAGCACCATCACGGTGCCCCTAGACCAGCCATGTACCCTCCATCCCGACAGCGCGTGGCCCCCGACAGCCTTCGGCCGCAATTTTGACACAAGTAACTGCACCAATTAGGTGCCCCTAGACCGGCCGCGCGCTGCCCACCCCGACAGCGCGCGGCCTCCACAGCCGCAGCCAGGGCCACCCGCTGGGCAGCTGCAACGCTGGCGCTGGGTCGCCTGGCCCCGACGCCCCGCCTGCTGGAGTCTCCCCGTAGGCTGGGCGTTCCTCCTCCCTTTTCCTTCCTCGCCTCTTCCCCCTTCGGCTTTCCCCCCCTCCCTCCGCGCGCCGCTACGGCGCTCCCGAAGCTGTCGCAGCTGGCAGCCTCCCCGTGTGGCTGCATGTGCACCTGGGCTTGGTCTTGCCGTCCGCACCTCATCACGAGCCCATCATTTTGCTGGTCGCAATCAAGACCTAGATTGCTCGTGGACTTGCCGTACATTGCCAACCTGCCACCCACCAGGGCGGCCTTGCGGCCTTCTTCCTGTCGTGCTGGTACCTCGCCTACTTCATCGGCAGCGTCACTGCAGCACTTGATTTCCACGTACTGGGCCTCGTCATCGCCCGTGGGTGCCCCAGCGCTGCGGTCCGGCTGCTGCGATGGATGCCGGCGACGGGGACGGCCGCGCCAGCACACTCTGGTGAGAAGTCTTCTTCCTCTGAGTGGTCTCTCCTCCCCCCCCTCCGCGGCCGCCCCGTCTGTCCTTTCCCCGCTCCTGCACGCTGGCCAATTCGCTTCTCAGTGCCCCCGCTTAACTCTAGCGCTTGTGCAGCCTGCCTCTCCGCCGACGGAAAACGTGTTTCATCCCGGGTAGTTTTTGGACGGCCCCGAGGGCCGGTGAGGGCCCCGAGAGGCTGAAAGTGACTGAACACCGCCGGTCGTGCTCTTTTTGTCAAGACACGATGAGGTCAGGAAATGAATCAAGTCAGTGCTCGGACCCCCAAGGCTTTACCTGAAAGGACTCGGTCGATCCCCTTTCCTGAACTCGAGACGAGGGGCAACGTTCGGAGGGGACCAGTTACGGGGGGGAAACGTCGCCTTGGAATCGGCAATGTATCGCTTGTAGGTCAGAGGCCCTCGATAGCAAAACCGCAAGGTCCTGGGGTGGGCTATCGGGCCCCTATCGGCGATGAGTGGGCGATTGTGTGTCGATGCGCCCCGTGTTCGCATCCCTCTTTCACATTTGTTTTCGGGTCATAAAGCGGGTCTCGGACGACCGTTCGGGACGATTCGGGTAGCCCGGGGACGCCCTCGGTGAAGCGCAGATGCTGCTAAAACGAGGCAAAGAAACCTCCAATAATCATCGAAAGCGTCCGGAAACCTAGACCTCGCACCTCGCCGCCCTCCCTTCCTGAGCCTCAACCCGAGGACATGGGATAGACATGGACTCCCTGCTTGGAGGGCGGCCTGGCCTCCGGAGCCACAGTGCACTGGCGCCTGGTTCAGGCTGCTGCCTGGGGGCCGCCGCAGAAGCCGCCTCCCTCGGCGCTCCCCGCTCCCTGGCAGCGGCGTGGCCTCCGCTGGCGAAGGGGAACAAAACAAATGCACAAATTTGAACATCCCGGAAGCCCGCGCGGATTCCATGGATCTGCGCTAGACCTCCTCTCCTGGTGAGTGTAGCGCGCCAGGGGGGGCGCCGCCAGCGGGCTCCAGCGCGTGTAGCAAAACGACCCAGGATTCCACGCGCACTGAAACATGCAGGACATCCGATGTTTGGGCCCTCGACCCTCGATGGGGGAAGTGTCTGGACGTTTCTCGCCTGTCGGGCCTCCGGAAGCCTCCAGGGAGCAGTGTCAGGGTCGGGGTGCAAAAAAAACAGGGACAGAATCTGCACAGTGGAAAAAGGTATGACATGGAGAAACAGGATGTCAGAGCTGGCGCGACCGCGCCTGGCTTGCCTCCCCCTCCTCTTTTTCCTCCTCTTCCCCCTCCTCCTCCTCCTCCTCCTCCTCCTCCTCCTCCTCCTTCTCCTTCTCTTCCCCCTCCTCCTTCTTCTCCTCCTCCTCCTCCTCCACCTCCTCGTCCTCCTCTTCCTCCTCCTCCTGCCCCCTCAGTTCGTCGTTGTCCTCCTGTAGCTAAGGGGTAAGCAAGTGGGCCCTACGTAAAAGTAAAGACGGACTGAAGGAAGGGGGAGGACAAGATGGGCGAGAGGAGCCTGAAGCGGATAGATCAATGGGGAGATAAGGGGTGCGGACAGTGGCTTTTGCGTTAGGCGCCAGGCTTGGGCGCTCTCGCCTGTGGCGGCCTCTTACGTTGTAGTACCAACCCCCACCCCATTATAACCCACCCCATTCTCTAGGTGGCGACTGCGGCGGAACCCGCCATGCCCTGACATTCACCGATGTAGTTTTTTGTTGTTCCCAGTCCGCTGAAGGGCAGCGAAAGGGGGGGAGCATCCCAGGGGGGGGAACATCGAGCTGGAATCGGCGATACCTCGCCGATAGATCGGCGCTAGGCCCCCGATGGTGAGCCCGAGGAGGGCCCCCGGAGGCCGAAATTCAAGTTAAGACGAGGCCAGGACAGAGACAACACCGGACAGTAGGACAACTCATAAATCTCTGGGTTCTGGCGGTTCTGGAGGACGTGTCGGGCGCCGCGGTCTTCTCAAAGAGTGCTGGCATGCCTCAAGAGAGTCTTGGAACGCTCTGGCACGATCTCATTATCCCTGTCCTGGCCCCTAGCCGTCGACTCGCTACACCTGGACGAGGAGCCCGGATACGTGGTCACCCGGGATGTTCTTTTTGCCGACGACACATTGTTAGCCTCCCAATGTCAGTCCAACCTCCAGAACAAGTGGAACGCTATCGTTGACGAGGGGCGCAAATATGGTTTGGAGCTTAACTGGGGGAAGACAGTACGAATGCAGATCGCCACGAATCAAAAAATTACGATACCAAATGGTGGTGGCATTAACACTGTACGGGACGCTGTATATTTGGAAGGTTTGCTTACATGTGACGGCAGAGCATCGGCGGAGCTATGCAAAATATTGGGAGAGGCAGGTAAGCTGTTCAAGCAACTGAGTGAGCTTTGGTCGCACGCATCTCTTGGATGGAGACGGAAACACAATATCTACGACAGCATTGTCTCGAGCAAACTATAGAATTCTTGGGATTCTCTGTGGTTGCTGAGAGCAGACAGATGCCGGCTCGATGCCTTCCATTGCCGATGTTTGCGACGCATTCTTGGGATTCCACATTATTTCAGATCACGTGTCAGCAACGCAAGCGTTCTGGGCCAGGCTGGGGCGGAACTGCTATCGCAAGTTTTGACTGGTAGACAAATGAAGCTGTACGAGAATATTGTCGCGCATGGGCGTACAGCTTTGGTGCATCGGGTTCTCTGCAATGGCGATGTGTCGCCGAAGAGTTGGGCTTGCAAGCGCAGACGCGGACGACCGAGACAGTAATGGGCGTCTTCAGTTTACAAGTTGTTGCAACATGTGTGAGAAGGTGAGCGGATCTTTCACCACCGTCTCCATAGCCGCTGTAATTCCCAGGTGTGGCGGTGAGTCACGCCCTCGTGCTTCGAATGGTTCGTGTGGCGTTTGGCCACATTACTTTTCCTGCCAACGCGTCCTCCTGGACGTAAGGTTTTCTTGCTTGCTTGCTTGTCCTAGCCCCGCCGGGGAAATCGAAGGGGATTGAACAATCACAGAGATCCGATGTCTTGACTTGTCAGTGCGGGGTCCCCAAAGCCTCGAGCTACTCCCAAGGACGTGTTTTTCATCCTGAGTCGTTTTTCGACGGTCCCAAGGCCCAGCGAAGGCCCCCGAAGAACGAAACCTCCCGTCCCGATTCGTTGTTACACCGCGATCATGTCAATCGAAAGGGACTGAACAATGTGGGTAGATAGAGGCCTCCCAAATAGGGCTCGAGTACACGGAGACGCAGGATCGCGCCGCATCGACGATACAATAGCGATGCATCGGCTACGTCGTCGATGCATCGGCGGCGTCGACGTGAAGAGCATCGGGATCCACATCGCGCAGGATCGCCGATGCATCGGCGATGCGGAGCGATCCTTCGACCCCATCTACTCGGACCCCATTTGGGAGGCCTAGATCGAATAAGGAAACACTGCGTGAACATTGAACTTCGGAGCTCCGCGCGGATTGCTTGGATCCGCGCTGGGCCCCCCTGGCGGTGCCTCGGGCGCCGCTCCTGGCGCGCTCCGCGCGCCAGGGAGGCGGGTCCAGCGCAGATCCGAGAAACCCGCGAGGACCGTCAAGAAGGTATGTTTATGCCATGCAGTTCTCTTCTTCGAGATCCTTCGACCCCTGCTCGGACCCCACTTGGGAAGGGGCGGCGATGCTCGGCCGGGCGGCGCGGCGCCTCCGGAGCCGCAGTTGCCCTGGGACGAGAAGTGGGCGCCTCTCGCCGGCCGCGGGCGGGCGCTACGCCCTCCGCCACCTCGCCGCCAGGCATGAGCTGGATCGAATCTCGGGCGTTGCTTCACTGGGGGGGGGGGGAGAAACGGCGTACACCTTTCGTGCCCCTGCTGGGCCCTAGGGGGCCCGTCGGGGCTTCTTTCAAGGCATCAGAGGAGCACGTTTCCGCCCCCCCCACTCACACCCAGTCATCGCCCTCCCAGCACGCAACGCCCGAGAATCGCGAAGTCGGGTCGGATCGGCAGAAAGGGCGGGCCTTCTCAGAAGGCTCGGAAGGCTTCTGGCCTTCCGGGAAATTGTCTGCGCCCCCTGGCGCGCCGTCGACCCTCCTCCACCTCGCCGCCAGGCATGAGCCGGATCTAATCGTTAAATCGAATCGGATCGGAAACGGATCGGATTGTCGGCGAATCGAATCGAGATCGTATCGCCGCGCCTGCCTTCGGCTGTCCCAGGCCGATGCTTGTGAAACAGACCGAATCGAATCGGAATTGCGGCCCGCGCTGGCGAATCGAATCGCATCGAATCGGATCGTAGGCGGCCCTGGCTGCTCCTTCTCCCCAGAGATCCTGGCATCGCAGTTTTTCCGAGCCGAAAATTCTCACCTTGATTGTGGGCCCCGGGGCCATCACGGATCGATCTGGCTTGAGACATGCCGCAAAAGATGAGGTCAGGAGCTCTGGTCGTGACTTTTTGTGCGCTGTTAATTTTGGATACGTCGGATCTCAGGGTCAGGTCCTGCTCCTCCTCCTCCTCCTCCTCCTCGCTCGCTCGCTCGCTCACGGCTGTAGACCTCCTCCTCCTCCTCCTCCTCCTCGTCCTCCTCCCCCTCGTCCTGGCTGCTCGCGTAGCCGCCCCGCGCCGAGCTGCCCTGCGAGGAGGATCAGGACAAGCCACCGCTGGCTCCCGTCCTGGTGCCAAGACCCGTAGGCTCCACGGTGCGTCGACCCGCGGGCACCCTTTGGTGCCGCATACTGAAACTCGGGGGCGTCCACGAGGACGGCGAGCAAGAGGGGGGCTCGCAAATCACGACCCGAGGCATGTGCGCGGTGGAGGGGGGGGAAACTAGGGACGTGTTGAAAGACGAAAGGGGGGCTATGAACTCCGTGCAGATCTCATGGCCCTCGGCATGACACCCACCCTCCCCAATCATCACCCCCCTTGGACGCCCCCGAGGACAATCCCACGCCCGCGCGTGTAATTACTCGCCCAGTGCCACGGCCTCCGCCTGCTCCACCGCGTCTGTGCCGCCCTGCTCGCCGCTCTCGCCAGGCTGGCAGGGGCGCCTCTTGCGCTCAGCGCTCGTTTCGACTCCCCAGAGGCGTGGTCCTGTGGTGCAGAGGGCTGGGAACCTCCGAGGATCCCGAGAGGGAGCGGGAACACACTGCCGATGCTGGCAGGAGACCTTCGCACCCTGGAGATGTCCCCGAGGGATTCGTGGTCGTCCGCTTCCTTGAGCCCTGAGCCACAGGCCGCTACCTTACCCTCAGCAAGCAGTGGAACACCAAACCTCATGCAATTGTGAGTGCTGAGTGCTCACGGATTATTGTAAGGTTCTCACTCGCCCAAGACCACGATATGCCGGAATGTCCTGTCACTCCTGGGCGCTCCTGGGGTGTGCCGCGTGCGCCGCCCGCAGTCAAATTTGTCGAAACGCATGGAATTCTTGATGATTCTGGCCTCAGGGCCAAATGCCCAGGACCTTTCTGACTCAGGGCGGCCCCAAAGCCCAAGGGCCCCCCAGTGACCAGAGACTAGAGGCCCCCCAGAGAGGCCCCCCAGAGACCAGAGACCTCGCAGAGACCCCATGCATGCCCCATTCCCTAGAGGTGCCCAAGGCATGGTAGCGGGAAAGGTTGGAGGCCACGAGATGGCAGAGATTGCCGCTGCTGCTGCTGATGATGATGATGAAGGTGCTGCTGCTGATGATGATGATGATGATGATGGTGATGATGATGCCGATGATGCTGATGATGCTGCTGATGACGATGATTATGATGAATCTGAAGATCAAGATTAAGCTGAAACTGATGATGCTGATGATGCTGATGATGATGATTATGTATGATTATGATGGTGATGATGATGACGGTTTGAGTTCTTGACGTTCGACAAAGAACCCATCTTTCGTCGGACATCCACTCGCCTGCCATATCCACCACCGCGCTTCGCCACAGCTAGGATGCGTGTATGCCTCGTACGGTGGCAGGTGTGGTTGGTTGGCGCTACCTAGACAGTGGACACAGTTCAGAAACCTTCGGCAATACTTCGCATCATAATGAACATGCTGGCAGGCAACTGGCGGGCGTGGCCTTGGCGCAATCATAGGCAACATCCAGGAATTTACACTCATGCCGAAAGAATTCTAGAGAGCCCTAAGGCGGATCTTACCAACTCACAATTACCCTGGAGACGTACCCAGGCCCTGCGCAACCGCGGGGCGCAAATAGTTTAGGACACTTTATAAAGGGGGGCGATGACGGAGCGAGGGTTACATATGTCTGCAGACGGAATTCGGGAGACTCGCAGACGACGACGGTGACGACGCAGCGAGGGTTACATATGTCTGTCGACGACGACGGTGACGACGACTCAGCGACGACGACGGCGACGGCGACGACGCCGACGGCGACAACGACGACGACGATGACGACGACGGCGGCGACGACGCCGACGACGTCCCAGGCAAGCGGCGAACGTCCTGCTCCTCATTCGCCTCCTCCTCCTCCGACTCCGCCGCCTCCTCCTGACCCGCAGCCCCTCCGGCCCAAGGATGCGGAGGTCTATTGTGGATCCGCGTAGCGCGTCAGTGTGCTGGCCCCCCCAGCAGGCCTCGAACGTGGCGACAGTTTCACATATCGCAGCCCCCCAGGGATGGCGAGGTCTAATTTGGGTCTGCGTGTGGCCTCACTGTGCTGGGCCCCCCCAGCAAGCCTCGAAAGTGGCGACAGTTTCACAGATCGCAGCCCCCCCAGGGATGGCGAGGTCTAATTTGAATCTGCGTGTGGCGTCACTGTGCTGGGCCCCCCAGTAAACCTCGAAAGTGGCGACAGTTTCACAGATCGCAGCCCCCCAGGGATGGCGAGGTCTAATTTGGGTCCGAGCGTGGCGTCACTGTGCTGGGCCCCCCAGCAGGCCTCGAAAGTGGCGACAGTTTCACAGATCGCAGCCCCCCAGGGATGGCGAGGTCTAGTTTGGGTCCGCGCGTGGCGTCACTGTGCTGGGCCCCCCAGCAGGCCTCGAACGTGGCGACAGTTTCATAGATCGCAGCCCCCCAGGGATGGCGAGTCTAGTTTGGGTCCGCGCGTGGCGTCACTGTGCTGCGCCCCCCAGCAGGCCTCGAAAGTGGCGACAGTTTCACAGATCGCAGCCCCCCAGGGATGGCGAGCTCTAATTTGGGTCCGCGCGTGGCGTCAGTGCTGGGCCCCCCAGCAGGCCTCGAAAGTAGCGACAATTTCACAGATCGCAGCCCCCCGCAGGCAAGACAGGAGGAGGCAGGCAGGAGGCAGGAGGGAGGCGGGAGGAGACGCGCGAGCAGTGCTCTATCCAAAACGAATACCCAACCAAGGAGGGTTGGGAATAAAGCAAGAAGCAGGACGCAGGAGGAGGGAGGGAGGCGGGAGGAAGGAAGGTGGAGACCACAGTCCCTTATTCAAAACTAATGCCCAACCAAGGAGGGTTGGGGGAAAAAACCACACTAATATCAAAGAAACCCATAACAGCTCATCACGCCTGTCCCGCTCTGGGAAGTTATGAAGCCATGTGCTTTCACTTGCCTCTGCATTCCCAAACACCTGGGGATCCTGGGGCGCCGAACCCCCTCATATTTTACAGACCGTCATCCTCAACATCTCTTCGCGCAGGACGCACCATCCTCGAGCGGGCACGCAAAGAATCGGCCATCTTCTGTACATTTCGAATGCCTCCAGATCTAATTATCTATAATGGGTTCTGTGCATAACGCCGTGTACCTGTTTGTTAATTTGAGCGGCGGTCAGCGGACGCCGTTATTTATGAAAGATCCGAGATGGAGGGTACACTTTCCACGAACGGGCATTCGCGAAACGTATGTTTCGTTAAAGCCAAATGGGACTGTGTCTAGTTCTAAATGGATGGAACTCTGCGGCCCTCTTCGAGCCTGCCATCGGGGATAATGGAACACAACTAAAATAGAACCCTGCGCCCGGACATTATCCGGGAATGCGAAATCCGAAAAGTCAGCAGCAATAGCAAATCATTTTGGGTTCAGGATCCCTGTGATGATACCAAAGCAACGATACACCAAAAGAAAACACAAAACGCATGCGACAGCACCGCAAACAATCAAAGGATTTCGGGCCTTCGGACTTCCATAGGGCCCCTCCAACCCAACTGCGCCCAGGCAGCCTGAGAACCCGAAGACCTTTGATGTCGGATGTGTGGTTGCTGTTGTTGTTGTTGTTGAATATTATTACTTCTAAAGAATAATTATTGTTGGGCCCCCTGGTGCACGCCCCCCTCGCCGCGCCTAGGCCGCAGCTACATTTTCATCATTTTCGTGAGGAAGCCTCAGGTAAAACGATGTGATCCAGATCCGGTTGTTTTGTTGTAATCCGTTTTCCCTTGCAAAAAACACTATAAAATGACATTTCTTGTTCTAATATAATCAAATTTCAAGAATCCCTTGCAAAAAATAAGGTAAAGTGGACATTCGCGCGCGCAAGACGAAATCCTTCCAAAAGCTTAGTGTTCGGAGCGATTTTAACATAAAAACATCAAAAAACCAATGGTTTTTCAACAAAAAAATGTCAAAATCTCATCCCGCGCGCTCTTGCGGATTCGTAGGAAACCCAACACTTTTTAAACATTTCTGTCAAACGGGCTTTTGCGAGCAACTTTTTCGAACTTCTGCGACAACGGTTGCGCACCTGCCAGGGCCATCATCCCTGTCAAATAATACCATGCGGGACACATTCGTTTTTTCTTCGCGCGCGCACGCCGTCGTCGTCGGCCGCGGGGCCCTGAATAGTAGCCACGGTCGTCCGCATGCCACGAAGTGAAGTGTCCGAACGTCATAGGGCGGGAAGCTGGGTGTGGGTGGTGGCGAAGAGTCGTTTGGAAATTTGGTAGAGCTTGAACCGGCCCCCCCACAAAGTGGGGGTATTGCCCGCCTCCTATGAAAACCCTGGCACTGGTGAGAACGGAGTGTCCCCAGTCTTAAATGATTGTTGTTGTTGTTGTTGTTCTTGTTGTTGTTGTTTTTGTTGGTTTAATAGTGTTTCATTGTATGGATTTCGGACAGACGCAGAGTGATGACTTATTGTTTTCATAAGTTGTAGTGCCTCATTGCTTTTAATTGTGCGGATTTGCAACTGTGTCAACGACATGGATGTCGTATTGTTTTCATGGTGGGGATTTCTTGTGGTCGTTCATTGTGTTGGCCCCCTCCCCCACGCGCGTCCTCTTCCCCCCCATCATTCCCCTCGCGCACTTGACTCTCCTCGTTGCGCCCCACCTCCTCCGCATGTTCCTCCCCTCCTCATCCTCATGACGGATACTGCTGGCGACGATGAAGAGGATGACGAAGAGCGGTGATGATGAGGAGGGCGGATGGTGATGATGATGATGATGATGAGGAGGAAGAGGATGATAACGACTTTTGTAAGCCCCTGCGGACCGATGGCGATGAACGAGGTGATAAGCGGTGAAATCCGCCGACCCCTTGGGGTCACGGCGTGTGAGATGCTTCCCCCTCCCAAAACCCCTCCCCCGGGAGCTCGGTCCGGCCGGTTTGGAGGGGGGGGGCCAAAGGTCTCATCCGGCCTCACGCGGCCCCAGAGGGCTCCAAGCAGCCCCCACGACGGCCCAAGAGGCCCCCGAGACGCTCAAAGGTTGGCCCAAGACGCCTAGGATGGCCCCAAGACGGCCCCAGAAACCTCCCAGACGGCCAAGGAAGCCTCCAAGAGCACTCCCAAGAAGGGCACCAGAGGCCAAAATCGTCGAATTCCTGCGGGACATTTTTATCATACACGACTTTTCGGCCTTCACGGCATTGAAGACAGCCCCAGAGTCCCCCAAGAACGGCCCAAAACGGATCAAGAGGCTCCCAAGAGGCGCTCGAAACGGCCCACGAGGAAGTCAAGACGGCCCAAGAGGCTCCCAAGACGGCCCAAGAGTGACCCAAGACGGCCCAAAAAGAGGGGCCCAAGAGGGGGAATCTGAACGAACAATCCGAGCCTTCCGCTTCAAAACGGCCCCAGAGGGGGCCCAAGAGGCGCCCAACAGGGCCCATGA